TACATCCTTTTAAATAAAGTGTCACCAACTAACGTAGACTCAGTAATAAGAAGGTTAAAAAGGAATGAACTAATAAAAATGTGTCTAATCTTGATAATGACAATTAGATATAAAAACAAAGATATTTGAACTCTGTGAACTTTCCAAGTGTTTGAGTTGAGTCACTTTGATTGAATGATTTGAAAGATGTTTCAGTCACAGTGAAAGTGTCTCTGAATATTTCTCATATATACGACATGAAACTCAGAACGTCTCCTTTAGATTCTGATTTATTTATTTTACAGTTCATCAGAAATACTTCAACAATTTTGGCAAAAATCCTCACAAACATTTGGCACAGAAATTCATCAATAAATAGATTCAGATATGCATCATAAAAACAAGAGGAGGTGATCGGACGACGACAGGAAACAGTTCACATCAGATCACAGTGAGGGAGACAAACTACCAAGAGACGTCAACACCTTCAATCAGAGCAGCCACAGTGAGAATTTACAGATGATTGATTTGATTGGTCTTCCTTCATTTTCAATGCTTGATTCAGACGAACACAGGAGAACTTCACCCGCCTGGTCCTTCCAGCGAAGCTCCAACAAACTCCTCAGGATTTGTAATCACAAGAGAATCACCGGTGATACAAATAATAAACTCTGAGTCCTTTTAAAAGACATTTAAAATATATATTCAAGTCCTTCACAGTTCCGCAAAAACATTTGGACAAACAAGTCGAGGTTGATGGTGATGAAGAGTTTTGGCCCCGTTCACAGGAGGAAAGTCACATTTTGAGATTCTTCACTTAAAGTGTTTGCAGGTGAAACTTCATGGCTGTGTCCCTGCAGCGTGGTGCACCCTGGGTAACGCAGTTCACAGAGACTTGTGCTTCCCCAGCAGGCAGAGGCTGAGGCACTGCAGCAGGCCCTTCATCCACAGGCAGTGAGCCAGGAACAGCAGCAGCATGAAGGCGCCGGCCGAGCAGTACACGCCGATCACCGTGCTCTCCTCCGGCAGGAAACACTTGGACAGAGCGTAACTGCCCGGTGACACCGACGCCTGGGGAGGGGGGGGGGGCAATATTTACTATAACATCACAATACTGACTGAACATCTAAATATTTCTCAGTTTGGTTTTGGACTGAGATAATTATTAGTTATGAGAAGTTAATGTTCACTTCATTATTCAGTCTGACGTCGTTGTTTCATATTTGTTTGGTTTTCTTTTTAGGAGTCAGTGTGGAAGCTGTGGTGAGATACGATCAACTATCAATCAATCGATCAATAACCCATGTTCACAAATCATAATTTGACTTACTGCCCTCAACCTGCTACCAGAGTCTGGAAACATTATCCAACTATAAGACGAGATAAAATAAGATGATCCTTTTCATCAGGTTCAGCAGCAAAGGGAATCGTGACGTCATCATTAAAACAGTAATAAATAAGTAAAGTATCATCACCTGATACATAATGTGATGAAAAGCAGAAATATTTATAATCAAGTTCAATATTATTTTAACTTTGTTTCCCCTCTTGTGCAGAATCATTGATTAATCATCAATAATCTGTATTGTATAAGTATATCATCATTATTTCTTGTCAGCAGGATGACATGTAAAAGGAGAAAATAAAAACCACAGGCTCATAATTCACACAATCACACAACATTTCTTTAAGTCTTTGTTTATGAAGTGTTGAGTAGATCACTTGTCATTTATGAGAACTGTTGAAGAATTGTTTTCTGTTATAAAAATCCACTTTTGCAACAAAAACATTTGTCTTTCCGAATAAAATAACTTTACAAATTCAACACGAGCGGACGGTCGAGTAATTTCATGTTCTGTGTCTCATCAGTGTCGTTGTCTGTGTTGTGCAGCGATGGAGCGGTTTGAAACACGTGGCTTGTTTCTCACCAGGATGAAGCTGGGGTTGTTCCTGTTCCTCCAGCTGAAGGACGGCACGCTGATCTCTGGGTACTTGTTGTCATGGAGAACCTCGCATCCGCTGTGGGTGTGTCCGCTGAGGATGAGGCGCGGCTTGAACCACTGCAGCAGCTGAGGAGAGAGAGGAACATCAGGCCCACAGAGCGGTTGCTGCTGCTTTACATCATCACTTTCATCACCGCCACCATCTGCTGCTTCCTGCGAGCGGCGGCTTCTGAAGCAGCAGGTCGCTGTCACTGTATTTCAGCTGGATGAATGTGCCTCAGAACTGATCTGAGCTTTGACAGAACCCCAGCAGAGGCGGTGGGATGTGATGAGACTGCAGAGTAACTCACCCTCTGCGAGGCCTCCTTCGACAGCACGTCGTACTTCTCTCGGAACAGCAGGTGTCGCTCTTCGGACGGTGCAGCGTCCTGTCCTGTGCAGGCGGCGTCGCTCACCCTGAACAGAGGATAGTGCTGGAGAGCAGGAAACATTCATTCAGCTCACAGCTTTTCTTCTTTTAATCATGTTTGGATGTGATTTTTTTTAAATAAACAGTAGAATGTTCTAATATTAAAGTAAAACATGTAGACAAATAACACACATTAGAATAAACTCCAGTGTTGAAAGAGTCTATCAGTTTAAACTTCAACAATTTTGACGATTAGGAGACTGGATAATCATTTATCAAGAAAAATATTCATTCATTGATTCCAAATTTAAAAATGTCTTAGTTTTACATCGTGACATCATTTTTGTTTTCTGTTTAGACAAGATTCATCTATTTGAAAAGATAAGATCTGCTGAGTAAGAAGATTTCAGGTTGATGCTTAATGAATTTACTTTATTTACAAATGTATTAAAAGTTGATATTTTCATTGCACTGAGTAAATGAAGTTCTGTGTAATTTTCAAATCCGACAAGTGTGAAGGCAAAATGAACTGATGCTAAAGAAAGTTTGAATCCCTGCAGACTGTCGACACCTTATTAAAAATGCAGCGTCGTGAGGTGTCGTCTGATGAAGGTCTGTGACTGAAGTGATGGATCTGATGTGAACTCGCTGCTGACAGAGTGTGGGAGTTCAAACTTTTCTCTCTTTAGTCTGAAGAACGGTTGAAATTCTCACAGTAACACTGAGTAAAACCGCAGAACCTCAGGTTTTAGTTTTAAGAACAAGTCACATGACGGCTTTTTAAACCAAGAACCTGAAACAATCAGTCAGCTGCTGTTGTCAGGTTCTCAAGTGAAGAGCTGATGTTGGTGCGTGTCCAATAATACAACCTGTAGCACCTCAACGTTAAGCTTCTTTAAATAATTAGACTGTTTTTTTGTGATTTTGAATTTCTACTTGTGACTTAATAATTACTCATTGATCCTCCTCAGATTTATCTTCAATCATTTTTAGATTTCCATAATAAAGAGACACCAAACGACCCAAAAGAGACACAACATGACCACAGCAACACATGAAATGAACAGAGAGACGCAAAATGATGAAAAGACACAAAACAAAGTGCAAAGAGACACAAAACCAACACAGAGGAAAGTAAGACAAACAGAAAATGAACAAGAGACAAAATAAACACAAAGAGACACACAACACAACCAAACAGTCACAGAGATGGAGAATGATCAGAGAGATAAACGAGTAATTAATAAAAGTCTTAACAACCTCCTCCCAACAGTCCACTGTCACTAACGACAGGTGATCATAAATATCCAGGATCTTTGTGAATGAGACTTTTTTTAAACCCTCTGAGGCTCTTTTTCTGAATCCAGAGCTTTTCAAGAGAGTTGGTGCAGACGTGAGGAGACGTGAGGAGACGTCCAGGGTTTCAGGCGGATCAGAGCCAGAGCATCCAGCGAGCTCACGTGTGGTTTACCTGTAACATGACGGGGGACGTGGGAGGATAGAGCTGCGAGCCTTCACAGCCGTCCGTCGCTCCGCCGCCAGGCTGCGAGTTCTGCGGAGGAGACGACATAAAGAATTCATCCACTTGTCTCGTCCACTCCTGAAACATCAGCCCACATTTTTATTCCACATCTCTCTGCTGTGAGAGAGGATCTGTGGCGTTCGAGAGAGAGAAGCAGTCAGCACACGAACACTCTGGATATAACAGAGGCTGAGACTCGCCCCCAGCTGCCGACCGTGTGGAAGCGTGTTACAGACTTGCAGAGGTGTTTCCTCTCACCTGCAGAGAACAGTTGAGGTCTCTGGAGAGTTTGATCAGCTCCTTCTCCACCGACTGGCAGATGGGACAGCCGTCTCCGTGCAGGGCCACGCTGTTCACCAGCAGGAAACTGAGGAGATTCGATAAAACACAGGAGCTGCAGTGAAGCTGCAGATATGCATCATGGTCTGGTTTCTCAAACGTCATCACTTTACAGCTACAGAGCTGTCCCCACCCAAACTCTCTGAATACTCCTGCAATAACTTCACATACATATAAACAGTATTTAGTCAGTGCCCCAAATATTTAATCTTATCAAGTTGTTTTTTTCCATTTGTAACAAAAGATAAAAATGAAAGAACTTAATCTTCCCAGTTTTTGTAGTTTTCCTTTTCATTTGGCCACAGACTGACTCTGGGGATCAAACCCGTGACCTGTGGCCCTGCCGGGTCACGTGTTTGTCCTGCATTATCACGCTGCGTCCTCCTGCCACTCACTTCACTCCTCTCTTGGTGACGATCCTGGTGGAGGAGGCGTTGAAGACTTTCTCGAAGCGCTGCAGCTTGAACCAGTCCATCCTGCAGGAGACACATCAGCAGCGTCATCACAGGCCTCAGATTCTGCTCTGTGGGAGGGTTTTACGTTTCATGAACACCAACAGTCTCCCACAGAAACACTGCTACAGGCCGGGGGTGAAGACAACCAACACAAGATCTCCAAATAATGAGAGAATGAAATGTGACACAACAACACCACAAACAAACGGGCTCCGAAATGACTGTAACATAGATCAAACACACACACTCAAATATAAAAATACTGTTAATTACAAAAAAAAGAACTAAAAACATAAACACTGCTTTTCTCATCTTACTTCAGTTTACATGTATATCTACATTTCTACTCTTCTGAGTATTGTTTTCTACAATTACGGACGACATGACTGCTTCCTAAACGTGGATCCAAAGCGTCTAGTTGGCCCCCTGGTGGCTGGGTGTAGTATTGGTCAATAACCCTGCCTCCTCCGTGTTAGTGGATGGTACATGAAGCAAAGATGGTTTCTATCATTTCACTATTTGACGTCTAAAAACGTGAAACGACATGATTGACGGCTGAGACTGACTCCTGCTTGGTCGAGTGTGTGTCTGTGTGTGTGTGTGTGTGACGTCTTTGCCGCAATATGACAACGTTTCTATCCGGGATATTTTTGGCTTCATTTCTGGCCGGTGGGAGGAAGTGGAGACGTGTCGTCCATCTTTGTTTACAGTCTCTGGTTTATTCCAGCAGATGAAAACAAACTTCTGTGTTTGGTTAAAATATAAACTATCACCAATCTTTGCTTTTTAAAATCTACAAATTCCTCCGAACACCTCAGAGGACGTGACCTCATTGTGTCCCTGACAATTAGTCAGTAAAATAAACATTCTCCTCGGCTCTGCAGCGTTGACCAAGTCCTTCCGTTGTCGTGCTTATTATTTGCTGCATTAACACGCTGCTTTTATTGACACTCCCTTGGCAGCTCGTCTCATTACAAAACCTCTTCAGATCAAAGTGAAGCACAAATAGACGACTGTTGTCTGATATTTCTGGAACTAGGACGGCGAATAACAGGAACAAAAAAGCCTCGGCGCTGAGGTGTTTTACCGAGTGACGTGCAGAGAAATCAAAGTCCTTTGTGCCACGTGTGTTTCTCCTGAATACCAGAGCAAAGGTTGAACGAGAGAAACAACAAAACAATAAAGCCGCACATCTCGTTCTTACTCATAATGGAATCCGATGTCGTGGTTCCCAACGAGTACAACCAGTTCCGTGTCAGTGGAGTGTCTGAACATCCTGTGGAAGCGGCGCACGTCATCCTCCCAGTGCTGCAGAGACACAACACAAACAGCGGAGGCAGGTTTCACTGTGTGTCTTCAATACGAAGAAGGAGAAAAGAAAACTCCCCCCGGGGAAGCTCATCAGAGTTAATGGGGTCTCTGAGGGTCACCCTGTCGCCCCCTGTGGGTGACTGAGCCACTCCGCTTTGATTCAGGCTCCAGATTCAATTTGGCTCCTGCAGGGGCCGCGGCGGCACACGGAGGACCTTTAATTACATCAGCGCTGTGGGGTTTACATGGTGTTTTTCATACAGACGCTGCTAAATGAGCCACTGATGCTGCTTTTAATTAGTGCTGAAATGACAACCAGAGCATTTAAATAATCAATTCATTGTTTAAGATGTTAATTACGCAAATGTGCCGAATATCAGAATCTCAAATGTGAGGATTTGCTTCTTCCTTTGTTTCGTATCGTAATAATTTGAATGTCTTTGCATTTTGCTCAATTACGGTTGGTTTCAGGCGTATTTCAGACAAAGCGAGTCATCATCCTGTTATTTTCTGGTGCGTGGAGCAAACAACAAATCAATGAATCCACAAACAATCATCAGCATGAAAACAGCGACTGGTCGCAGCTTTAATTTCACCATTTCTTTTCTCTGCAAATTGAAAGACTCGAGCTTCGCTGTCGCAAAACTCCACAGAATACAAATCAGACGAGATGTACAAACGAATGAGCGAGTGAACAAAGTGGATGAGAGGAGGTTTAACTCAGATCTTTTTTAATGGAGGATTTCTCTCTGTGCTGCTCTTGCTCTTCACCACTTCCCCTTTTTTCTTTGACTTGATGCGTTTGTTTTGTCAGTCCAATCATGGATGCTGTGAGAGTTCCCAGGGGGGGACATTTTTTTTCCTGAAGCAGGGGTGGATGTGCAGGAGCATGGAGGACAGAGAGGCTGCAGGCTGCTGCTGCTGCTGCTGTTGTTATTTACTGATGTTTCCCACAAATCCCGCAGCCTCCCGGGCCTGGTTGGTACAGGATGATGCTGATGATGATGATGTCTGAGGAGCACTGGCCTCTGCATCCTGGCATCATCATGACAGACACAGCAAGAAAGTGGGGGAAGGGGAAGAGAGAGGGGGGCGACGTTACCTTCTGTGAGCTCCACTTGCCTTCGTCGAAGATGTCCCCGAGGATGAAGACTATCTCGGGCCTGAGCAGCCACAGAGCGGTCTGGAAAGCTCTCTCCATCTGCCATTCCCTGCGCGTTTGGATACATGGATTATTGTGTAGTTGTTGTTGTTTACGCATCACTCCTGCAGGGATGGATGGAGGGATGGATGGATGAATGGTGGATGGGTGATGGATGAGTCGAGGATGGAGACATTACCTCCTCAGCTTGTCAAACCAGTGTCCCCCAACGGCTCCCAGGAGGTGGGTGTCCGACAGCACCATGGCGCGCACCGCCACTGAATCCACCGGGCGACCGTCGATGCCCTCCCCGGCCCGCGCATGGCTGCTCCTCGGCCAGGCGCACTGCAGGATGGCGGGGAAGTAAATGAGATACTCGCAGAAGAGGAAAGCGCCGCCGACCCCGAGGATCAGCAGCGCGGTGACCGTCCACCTGACGCTGAAGCGCGGCATGTCTCCGTCACTCGGCGCTGGAGGAGCCCTGCACTGGCGCACTGGAGGCGATGGAGCGGTCCATGAGGCATCTTCTCCTCCTCGGGACCCCGGAGCTGCTCAGGGCTGCGGCCGGGCGATGCTCATGGCGGGTCCCGCTCCGAGGATGAGGGAGAAGAGTGAGAGAGACTGGGGCTGAGAGAATAATCCTGTGCGTCTGACCCGAGGATCAGCCTCCAGCCTCTGGTCGACTCTGATCTGCAGCTACAGCATCTCTGCTCCTCACCGTCAAGCTGCAGACAACACGTCTGCTGGCAGGGTTTTCAAAATAAAACGCCAGGTGCAGTACTAAAAAACACACTGTACTTTAAAAGTACTCCACTGCAAGAAAAATCTTTTATCTCTTATCTCGTTTTTAAGTTGCCTTGTAGTTCAAATGTGCTTTACGAATAAAGTTGTCTTACCTTATTATTACCATTATTTGGTGACTAGGAGGAGCAGTGGATAGTAATAGTCTGATAAATGTATTGGAGCAAAAACTACAAATCCTCTCTGATGAATAAATACAAGTATAAAGAAGCAGAAAATAGAAACTGAAGTACAAACACCTGAGAACTGCAGTTTTAACTTTTCACTTCCTGTGTTTTTCCTGCTCACTTCTGCAAGCTTGACTACACGTTCTCTTATTTTTCTGAGCAGGGGGTGGGGATGGTTCACATGAGGGAGAAAAGACTGAGAACACTTAGGGTGAAAGTTATTTATTTAAAATGCAGGTAATCAAGGTGTAATGTAGTGAAGTTCTCTGGTGATAAATCTGATCGGTGGAGGTGGCAGCGGTCCAACGGACACACACACACACACACACACACACACACACACACACACACACACACACACACAC